GTGTGGTACAGTGTGATGTAGTGCAGTATGGTGTGGTGCAGTGTGGTGTAGTGCAGTATGGTATGGTGCAGTGTGGTGTAATGCAGTATGGTGTGGTGCAGTACAGCATGGTGCAGGGCAGTCTGGTACGCTGCAGTGCAGTACGGTGTGTTGCTGTGCAATACAGTGTGGTCCAGTATTGTGCAGAATGGCGTGGTGCAGTTCTGTACGATATGGTGTAGTGCAGTATGGTATTGCTTTTCAACCACAGTAGGCATCACTGTCACCTGTGATCCAGCTATATCATTACCAAGGATAAACTGCATTTCTGGAACTGAGAATTTCTCTTTTACTCCTACAAACACTTCACCACTTTTCACCAGACTCTCCAACCTCATGTTACGTAATGGAACACTGCTGTTCTCACAATGAATTCCACATATTACCACCTTTTCTGTCTCCTCATCTCTCACCAACAAAGATTGACTTGCTCCCGTTTCTCTTAAAATCTTTATTTCTTTAACCTGCTCCTACTGGCATACATGAGTAAACCTTACCCATGCAAGTAAATGTTCATACCTATGTATAGTTAAATGGTGGATGCAAGGTTTTGAAGTTGTGAAAGTGATGTTGCTGCAGTTATTGAATTGTGTGTTTGTTGAGATGGGATCTTACCTTGAGCAGTCATGTCAGGTCATCAAGCTTCTTGCAGCATGGGAGTAGCAGGCAGCGCTCCAGACTGTCACCTCCTGGGCTTCTCTTCCAATCCACATTCTATGACCTTCTCCCACCCTGTGGATATCTACAGGACATTGTTCCATCTCTGGACCTCCCCTGTCAGAGCCTCTGATACATGAGCTATCCTTCCACATTGCTTCTCTCTTGGCCAATGCTATCCACACTCTCACTAGTAGTGTGTGTGCGAGTGTAGGCTACATACACAGCTTTGGGGAAATTGTATTGAATCTATGAATATGAAAACACTGCCAGACTGTTGGAATTACATTAATCATTAATTTGCTCATACACAGTCTGTTAAATCCACACCCTCAACCTCTTCAGCACAGCACATATTTAATACCTATTTTAATCCTTTCGCCAAAATAACCCCCTCATCATTTGGCCCAATAGTCATTTACCTGTTCCTGTGTAAGCACAGCCTGGCTGAAGAAATGCTGCAGCTGTTCATTGGCATAGTTGATGCAAAGCTGCTCAAAACTGTTCACGCCCAGATCCTAAGGACAAACGCACACAAAAACAACCCTGTTGTAATAAGCCAGCAAAAGCTCCAAACAAACAAGCAAAAACAAACTATTAAAATGAAATATGGAAAGGTTTAATAAAGGTTCTGTACCCATGGGCAGTCTGTTCCAAACTTAAAACAACAAATGCTGGAGATCACAGTGGGTCAGGCAGCATCCATGGAGAGAGAGCAAACTAACGTTTTAAGTCTAGATGCCTCTTCATCAGAGCTGATGTGATGTGTGGAGGGAGCAGCATTTTTGTAATTGTTGGGGGTGGTTGGAGTGCTTGGGGAGGAAGGGTGTTGACAGTTCAGATTAAGTGATTGGAATGTGTGAATGGCAGAACAACGGTGCGTCTATCTGCCAGATTGGAAAGAACAGACAGTCCCACTGGGGTGGAGGGAGGGGAGAGAGGACATGAAGACAGAGAATGTAACAAGTAAAGCTAAAAGAAAGGGAAGGAATGGGAGTTGGTTCACACTGGAGGTGTTCTGCAAAGCAGTCACTGGTTTCTCCAGTGTAGAGTGGGCAAAATTTCCGATCTGTGAGCAAGCATGACCCCGACCTTTCATAGCTGGTCACTTTAACACAGCATCCTGCTCGCATGCCCATGTGTCTGTCCCCGGCATACTGCAGTGCTCGAGTGAATCACTGTGCAAACTGGAGGAACCACACCTCATCTTCAGACTAGGCCCCTTATCATCTTCTGCACTTAATATTTATTGAGTTCAACACCTTCAAATTGTGAACCAACTCCCTGTCAGGAAGGAATATCTTTTATTGTCACTTACATTCAAAATAAAATGCAGTGAAAAGTGTGCACCATTGCATGTATATGAGCGCCATTCACAGAATAAAATACAGAAATATAACTTAAAGAGAGTCCAACTTTCCATCTTCACTGCTATACCACAGCCAGAGTCACATTCCAGGTTTTCCAGCCCATGCTATGCTGCTGAGAGTGTCCTGCTCTGGGCTACACCAGTCTGTGCCATGCCCCTGTCAGGGGCCTGCTCCACATGGAAAACGAAGCCCCTGCTCCAGGCCTCACAGACTGACAGACCGACTCAACAGCCACCTCCGAAAACGCTGCCACCGCTCCAGAGCCCATCGAAGCCACCTCCAGCCGAAGAGCTCTCTCAGCCACCCGTCACTGTGGGACCCGGCCCCCACGATACCCCAGGTTTGCGGCCCCACTGTCGCTCCACGTATGCAGCTCCTCTGCTGCCCCTTGGTCGCTCCGGGGACCGGCTCCTTCGGGACTCGATCCGACCCACATTTGTCTCACATATGGATAGGGTGGTTGAGAAGGCATTTAGCATGCTTGCCTTCTTTGCTAAGACCTTTGAGTATAGGAGTCGGGATGCTATGTTGAGGTTGTACAGGATGTGGTGATAACTCTTTTGTAGTACCGTGTCCAGATTCTGGTCGTCCTGTTATAGGAAGGATATCATTAAGCCAGAGAGGGTTCAGAAGAAGTTTACAAGGATATTGCCGGGAATGGAAGGTTTGAGTTATAAGGAGAGGCTGAATAGGCTGGGACTTTCTTCAGTGGAGCACAAGAGTTTGAGGGGTGATCTTATAGAAGTTTGTAAAATAACGAGGGGTATAGATAAGGTGAATGGCAGGCGTCTTTTCCCTGGGGTAGGGAATTTCAAGACTAGGGGCATTTTTTTAGGATGAGAGTAGAAACATTTAAAAAAGACTTGAGGGCCAATTCTTTTACACAGTCAGTGGTTCATGTGTGAAATGAACAGCCTGAGAAAGTGATGGATGCAGATACAGTTACAATGTTTAAAAGACATTTAGATAAGTACATGAATAAGAAATGTTTGGAAAGATATGGGGTAAGTATAGGCAGATGGGACTAGATTAGTTTGGGAACATGGTTGGCATAGACTGGTTGGACTGAAGGGTCTGTTTCTATGCTGTATGACTATAACTTTATCTGTGGAACTCAATTCCGAAGAAGGGTCACTAGACTTTAATAATTAACTCTGCTTTCCCTCCACAGGTGCTGCCTGACCTGCTGAGTTTCTCCAACAATTTCAGTTTTTGATCAGTTCTTTGAGCCTGCTCTGCCGTTCAATATGATCATGGTTCACCCTGTACCATATTTCCACTTTCTCCCCTTACTCCTTAATGTCTTTAAATTGTAAAAATTGATCAATCTATTTCTTAAATACACTGAGCGATCTGGCATTCTGTGGTAGCGAGTTCCACAGATTGATCTATGAGCGAACAAATGTTTCTTCATCTCATTTCCAAATGGTCTATCCTATATCCTGCATCTAGACTCCCCAACCAGAAGTAACATCCTCTCTGTATCTTGTCTGTCTAGACTTGTTAGAATTGTATATATTTCAATCAGTTCCCCTCTTCCTCTCTTTCTCTTCTAAACATAACCTATTGGGATACAGCCAGTTAGAACTATTTTATTAATTGACGCATGGGCTCAGTATGGAGTCATCTTTAATACAATACCAATCCAGCACATCCTATTCCCTTCTGTCACCCACTGTAACCCCATGGCCCAAACATTTACTTCCAATTTCTTTGTGAATTCTGTTGATCACCACTGCTTCCAAACCCCTTGCGGTCAAGATGTTCCAGGTCATTGCTGTTCAGTGTGTAAAATATATTCCCCACATCTCTTGCTCAAGCCTTTAAATCTGTCCCCTCTCAGTCCTTGTAAAATCAGCCATGGGGAAAGTTTTCGCTGTCTACCTTAACTCTATCTTGTACAACTTGATCAAATCTTGTGTCAAACTCCTCTGCTCAAAGAAGGATGATCCCAACTTTCCAAACCAAACATTGTTAGCAAAATCTTCCCACCCCTGGAACCACTCTTGTCTATTTCCTCTGCATCCTCTTGAGGACTTCAACAGCCTTCCTGAAGTGTGGTGACCAAATTGGATTCAATGTTCTAGTTGTAAAATAGTAGAGCTTTACAGGATCAGCCTAACTTCACTACTTTGTAATTTACAAACTGTCCTCATCAGACACTCCCAGGAAAAGTACAGCACAGGGTTAGATATAGAGTAAATCTACCTCTACACTGTCTCCTTTATTTAATGGAAATGTATTAGACAGTCTAATCCCATTTCATACTTATTTATTACAATTATAATGTTTAATTTGCATTATTCTACACTTGATTATACACCTGGCTCAGAGCTGAAAAATCAGTAATATGCTCTGGTTTCCAGATCTTGAACAAAGAACATTTGTAGAATGTGAAAAAAGCAAATAAAACTTGAGCGCAGAGCTCCAGGCTGGCACTCAGATACCATCCTGAAGAATTGCAATCAGAGGTGCTAATTTTCAGATGTTATCTTAAGATAACATGATGGGCAACATTTTTACACTGGGAGTCGTTCAAGTGTGGAATGAACTGCCAGGGAAAGTGACAGATGCAGGTACAATTACAACATTCAAAAGACATTTGGATAAGTTCATGAATAAGAAAGGTTTGGAGGGAAATGTGCGAAGCGCAGGCAGATGGATCTAGTTTAGCTTGGGAACATGGTTGGCATGGACTGGTTGGACCGAAGGGTCTGTTTCCTTGTTGAAGGACTCTATGACACTGACCTCTATGAGGTTAGCCCTCTTGGAGATCACATGACACTATTCTGAAGAAAAGCTGGCAGTTCTCCTAGGTGTCATGGCCAATATTTATCCCTCAAAGCAGATTATTTGACCATTATCACATTATGATTTGTGTGAGCTCACTGTGCACAAATTGATTGCTGCATTTCCCATTTTGCAACAATGGGTATGTGTCAAAAGTACTTACTTTACAATAGACCTAAAGAACATCAAGGCATCTGTGACTGCAAAAGGTGCAAAATAAATGTAAGTATTCTTTATTATGAGGAAGGACACATTGCACGCTGCCTGATATCTGTCATTTTAGTTATTCAATGTATTATATCCAAACATATATACATGTGGAACATTCACAGCATAGAACTAACAGATAAGATTTACGGATATATTGAGTCTTACCTCGAATCCATAGACATCCACAATCCCCACTGAGCTATCCATCTCCACCGGCATCAGACACAGATTGGTTTGCTGGATGAGCCAATCAAACAGGACAGAATAAAGTGCTTTGGTGATACTGTCTCTGAGAAAATAAAACAAATTGTTACCACATCTTCACAATCACCAAACTGAGGCAAAGGGTCACATCTTCCTGCCCAAGGTTTTAAATGAGGAATGAGACCAGTTCCAATGGTTTATGAGATCTTCCTGCTAATATGATCATTCTGGAGTCTTGAATGAACAGGTAGTCTCCCGGAGTCTCACCTCCATGGGGATGAAGGGTGAACTCTATTGGGGGGTGGGGGTGTTGGTGGAGTTGGAGGAAGGCCAACAGACAAACCAGAAGTGGGTGCTGCTGATCTAGGTGGGGGTCTGGGCAGCCTCAAACCAGGCAGCATCATCATTAATTGTCACCAAGGAGGCATCTAATTGCTAATGGCTAACAAGCTCACACTACTGGACAGGTAACTGGTACCACTGGCATTCTGTCTCTGCCAAGATTCCACAAAGAGACAGGAACATGTTGGATAGAATTTCTGACACGGACATTTCAAAAGCTGCCCTTCACTGCCTCCAAATCAATTCTGGATCTAGACTGAGAGAGAGACAGGGAGGAGGAACAGTGAGAGAGAGACAGAGAGAAAGTGGCAGAGAAGAAAGGGAGGGAAAGAGTGAGTGGCAGAAAAAGAAAAACTTGCATTTACATAGCGCCTTTCAGAACGGCACTTCCCTTGCTGACAGCACATGGATTGAAGTGTTTCAGGGAGGCAGCTAACCACCACATTCTCTAGGGCATTTAGAAAGGCCAATAAATGTTGGTCTAGGCAATGACCCCACATCCCATGAAAGAGTTAAACAAAAAAAAAGCTCAGAACTTCCCAAAGAACTTTATAGCCCAGTCGGAAACAGATAGTCCTCAGTCCAGTTGGCTGGGGAAGTGGGGGGCAGAGGGAAGTGCTGTCAGTCAGGGAGTCTCAGAACCGTCACTCACATCACAATCCACAAACTGTCCAGGCAGTGATCAGCTTGGGACGCCCATGGTCAGGGTTCTGTCTGACTACAGTCTGGCGAGTGGGCAGTGTGGTCAGCCCTGTGGGGGCCAGCAACAGCAGTGAGGGACATCATATATTGTCAGTCAGGCAGCTGCAAATACTGTGGCCAGGGGTCTGCTTGTTGAAGTTGGTCAGAGTCCAGGCCTAGTGCAATCCTGGGAATCTGTCTGTCAATCATTTCGGAGGGTGCAACTGACAACTGTAGAGGCAATGGTGGGGGGTGGGGGGGATTGAATCATTGCTAAAAGAACATAAGAACTAGGAGCAGAAACAACAATTCAGGCCCTTGAAACTGTTCCACCATTTAGTATGATCATGAGTAATCTCATCTAGGCCTTAACTTCATTGTCCTGCCTGCTCTCCATAACCCTTATGAATTAAAGATCAGTCTCCTTAAATTTACTCCTTGTGCCTCACTTAGACCTCCGAGTCTCATTCTTTTAAACTCCGGTGAGTTTAGGCCTAAACTGCTCAATTTCCCTTCATAAGACAAGGCCCTCATATCTGGAATCAGCCTAGTGAAACTACATCCATCCTCAAGAAAGGGAACCAAAATTGTATATAAAATTCCAGGTGAGGTCTCACTAATGTTCTGTTATGCTGCAGCAAATCTTCCCTACTTTTATTCTCTATTCCTTTGGCAATAGATGACAAGATTCCATTTGCATCCCTCATTACCTGCGGAGAGGTAGTGGGGGAATGGGAGGTAATGGACTCTCAGGTTAGAGCAAGACATGAGGGAATATGAGGCTTTTGTTGTGGTGGTGGGGGTGGGGGTGGGGGTGGAGGGGGAGGGGAGCGGGCATTGATCCTGGTGACATGCAGATGCTGGTGAATGGCGGATTGCAGCAGGCCATTGGTGCAACTAATCCAACATTTGTCATCTCAGAGATGCAGTAGTTAGTGGAAAATTGAGAAACAATATGTAGGGAGATCTCAGATATATATAAGCATAATAAGGTTATAATAATGGAGGATTTTAATTTTCCAAACATTGACTGGGTCTACCATAGTGTTAAAGGTTTAGATGGTGAAGAATTTGTCAAATGCGCTCAAGAAAATTTTGTTTATCCATATATGGATGCTCCTACCAGAGAAGGAGCAAAACTAGACAATCTTTTGGGCAATAAGGCAGGGCAGGTGACGGAAGTAAATGTGGGGTAACACTTTTGGTCGAGCTATCAAAATTCTACTAGTTTCAAAATGGTTATGGAAAAAGATAAGCCTTCTATAAAAGTTAAAGTTTTTGATTGGAGTGCGGAAAATTTTAATGGTATGACACAAGGACTTTGAAAAGTTGATTGGAAGAGACTGCTTGCAGGTAAAAGGATGTCTGACAAATGGGATGCATTCAAGAGTGTGATGCTGAGAATTCAGAGACATCATGTTCCTGTTAGAGTGAAGGATAAGGCTGATGAGATTAAGAAACAATGGATGAATAAAGATATTGAGGTTCTACTAAAGAATAAAATAGAACATTGTTTTAGGTATTGAGAACTTGGTTCAATTGAATCTCTTAATCAATATAAAGAGTGTAGGGGCATTCTTAAGAAAGAATTCAGGAAGGCAAAGAGGGGATATGAGATAACGTTGGCAGATAAGGTTAAAGATAATCCAAAGAGATTCTACAAGTACATTAAGAGCAAGAGGGTAACCAGAGAGAGGATCAGGCCTCTTAAACATCAAGGAGGTCATCTTTGTGTTGAAACCCAGGAGATGGGAGAGGTACTAAATGAATATTTTGCGTCAGTTTTTATTGTGAAGAAAGAAATGGAGTCCAGCAAATGCAGACAAGTAAACTTTGATGTTTTAAAAACAGTTCACATTACAGAAAAGAAAGTTTGGAAGGTCTTAGAGAATACAAAGGTGGATAAATCTCTGGGACCTGATCTAATGTATCCCAGAACGTCGTGGGGAGTAAGGGATGAACTTATGAGTCCCCTTGCAGAAATATTTGCATCATCTATAACTACGGGTGATGACTGGATGTTGGCTAATGTTGTATCTTTGTTCAAGGAAGTTTGTAAGGACAAACTGGAGAACTATAGATCTGTGACTCTGACTTCGCTTGTGCGTAAAGTGTTGGAGGTGATTATAAAAGATAGGATTTATGAACATTTATAGAGGCAAAAATTGATTAGGGATAGTCAGCATGGTTTTGTGTGAGGAAAATCATGTCTCACAACTTCGTTGAGTTTTTCAAGGAAGTTACCAAAAAGATTGATGATAGCAGAGCAGTAGACTTTGTTTATTTGGATTTTAGTAAAGCCTTTGATAAGGATCCACATGGTAGACTAATTAGTAAAGTTAGGTCATTTGGGGATCAGGGTGAGCTTGCCAACTGGATACATAATTGGCTTAACAGCAGGAGACATTAATGTTGGGGATTTGCTTTTCGGACTGGAGGCCTGTCACCAGCAGTGTTCCACAGGGATCAGTTCTGGGTTCTCTTTTGTTTGTCATTCATATTAATGATTTGGATGAGAATATAGAAGGCATGGTTAGTAAGTTTGCGGATGACATTTTTTTTAAAAAGAAGATCTATTCAAACCAGAATTCAGTCTAGGATCTGACTTGCCCAGTAATTACATTAGCTGGGATCATTACGCTGCTTTAACAACTCCTGGCTTTGCTTTCCACCCAGCAGCTGGCTAGTCTGACCTGTGGGAAGGAATGACGAAACAGGAGGCTGAAGCTAGGTATCTTTGGGGTTGCTCCCAGCCAAATGGTTTTAACAATCAGGCAGATTGTTAATTAGGCTGCAAGGATGAGAGGTAGTAGATCAGATCTTTGGCAACACTCCTGCTCCTCCCAGCCCAAAGAACACTAAGGCAGCAACACAGCCCATGAAACTGTTAGTTCTCTCTCCGCCGTGTTCACAAACCTCTGGTGAGCCCTGGAGGCAAGAGTCCATTTTAAATTGTATTCAATGTATGAAGCCTGATTTCCATGTTAATAAGCATCCCATCTCTCCATTTAGGCGTCTCAGATATCCTAGTATTTCCATGCTGTAACATTGGCCATGGTCATATGTTATCATGAGTTAACAATTAAGACAAACAAAAGATAAATGGTTTTAGACGTACACTATGGGCGGCAAAGAATTGACAGGGTATCAAAAGTCTTGACCACAAGATGGACAGTCCTTTTTTCTCTCACAGACCTTTCCTAAGATGCTGCCTTTTGTCCAGTGATGGTCATCCTTTGATTCAATGGTGGAGCAGGTGAACTTACACAAATCCTTTCTTTTAAGTTTGCTGGACTTTTCAGGCTTTTCCCTAAATGGTGGGAGACAGACAGAGAGAGGATGCTGCCTGCAGGCTGGATAGTTTCATTCTCTCCTGCTGTTGGCACTTACACATTTGCAACTCTCTGCAACTCAACCAATCTGCTTTCAGACAAAATTTCCTTATCTCAGAAGATTCTTGGTGTCATTCAGTCTTGACTCTCCCCTCTTTTTGCTTTCAAAAAGCAACATGACTGAACAATATGTAAAACTTGTTTTCAAAGCTTCTCTATTTTTCAATAAAGCATTCCAGCTTCCATTTTACATTATTGTTCAAAAATGCAAATAGTTTCCTACAGAATGCAGTGTTGTAAACATATTCCCTTTGTTTAGCCTATTAACCCCTCCCCTTCAATCCTTAGTTGATGGGGTTACCATCGAGCACAAGCAAGAGAGACAGTGAGAGAGAGGTCAAGAGTTCATAAAACAGACTTGAAGGTAGGAATGAAACTGAAATAAGACAAGAGAAAAAAACATTTTTTAAAAAGCATAAAGACAAAAGGGTGCACAAATACATTTTGGACCAAACTTTGACAGGTTGTGCATCAAATACCTGGCATCTATGGAACCTTCCACAGAGAGAGGGGAAAATATCCGGTCATAACTGGTCTCCTGAAATGATATAAATCAAATCTGTTTTATTTCTGTGTATGTGCTTACTGGAACCGACATGATGATCACACATGTACCATACCCACACAGTATGTGCTTTATCAACATACCTATCCATATATGAACCAACATTTACATGCAATACATATACTTCCACTCTCACACTCACATGCCCACAGACAAGAACATAAAGAAACACAGATACTGCAAAGCTGAAGGATTCATGAAACATACAGCTATACACGCTCATGTTGCTATCCTTTAATTGTCCCATCTCTTCTTACGCTTGAGTATTTGCCTCTCCAAATGGATTTTCCTATTGTTGAGAGCATGGACAGGGAAATGCAGAGGGAGACTATTTCTTTAGGTTTCCCTATTGGATTCACTGTTACATGTAGGACGTTTCCTGCCTATCTCTGGTGCTTGAGACCAGGGAAACCCCAGGGGCGATTATTTGCTTGTGTCTGAGGGGCTGAGGGCTGATATGAGAATGATGAGGCAAGATGTGCCTTCTCCCAGTCATAGGGTTTTGGACAATTCTTAAAGGAAGAGACGGTAGAGAAAGTTAGCAACATGGACAAATACAAAAGAAAATTAAATATAGCCACAGAGACAGGTTTACACATTGATAGAGGTCCATGAACACATGCACACAGACTAATAGACAGACACATGTTGAAAGGAAATAGGTGTTCAAACAGCCAATGCTTTGCCAGAGTCCCTCCTGTCAATATAGTTCTGAGCGATGATTGCTTTGTCTCGTGTTGTGTTATACTCACTGTCACACGCTGTGTGATGGCACCGTGAAGCCTGTCTGAAGAGACCTGTAGCATCTGGGCCACAATTCGTATCTCGGTGTAACTAACAATGACAGCGAGCTCCTGGGATCCATCCTAGAAAAGCACCCCCAAGGTCAGTCACATGTCAGAGACACCCTGTAGTAGGCAATTCTGCTGATTGTAGCGGGGCTGTTTGAGAGCTCCTGTGAGTTTGAAGGTCAGATTATCCGGGCCAGATTATCTAAGGAGTGTCAATCCCATGCAAAAAGGATGAGCTCTGCATCTCTGAGAGGAGATTCCATTCAGGGTTCCTGCACTTCCATTCTGCCAGTTCTCTTGTAACATAGAGCTGTGAGAGGGAAACGAACCACAGTCCCCTTTCACATCTGTCAGCTGCCGAAATCAGAAATTTAAAAATCCTAATAGCCATGTTGACAGATGCTGTCAAATGGTAAGTATAAAAGGCACATGGCCGATAAGGTTAAATATGGATAAGAATAATCCAAAGAGATTCTACAAGTACATTAAGAACAAGAGAGCAAATAGAGAGGGAGTAGGGCCCCTTAAAGATCAAAGATGTCATCTTTGTGTTGAGCCTTAGGAGATGGGAGAGGTAGTTAAATGAATATTTTGCATCAGTTTTTACTGTGGAGAAAGAAATAGAGGCCACAGAACTCAAAGAAATAAATATTGATGTTTTGAAAACAATTCACATTACAGAAGAGGAAGTGCTGAAGATCTTGAAAATATAAAGGTGGATAAATGTCCAGGTCCTGATCTAGTGTATTCCAGGCTGTTTTGGTAAGTTAGGGAGGAAATTACAGGCCCATAATAGAAATATTTGTATCATCCATAACTACAGCTGAGATGCCGGATGACTGGAGAGTGGCTAATGTTGTACGTTTATAAGGAGACGTAAGGAGAAACGGAACTATAGACCTGTAAGTCTGACTTCGGTGGTTAGTAAGTTGTTGGAAGTGATTCTGAAAGATAGGATTTATCTACATTTGCAGAGGCACGGAATGATTAGGGATAATCAGCATGGTTTTGTGCATGGGAAATCATGTCTCACAACTTGATTGAATTTTTTGAAGAAGTGTCGAGGATGATTGATGAAGGCAGAGTGGCAGTCATGGTCCTGCAGACTTTAGTAAGGCATTTGACAAGGTTCCACATGATAGACTGGATAAAAAAGTTGGATCACATGGAATACAGGAAGAACTAGCCATTTAGATACATAAATGGTTCGAGGGTAGGAGACAGAATCTGGTGATAGAGGGTTACTTTTTGGACTGGAGGCCTGTGAGCAGCGGTGTGCCACAAGGATCAGTGCTGGGTCCACAGCTTTTACTCACCTATATAAATGATTTGGATGTGAATATAGGAGATATAGTTAGTAAGTTTGCAGATGACACCAAGATCGGTGGTGTAGTGGGCAGGGAAGGAGTTACCTCAGAGTACAATGGGACCTTGATCAGATGGGTCAATGGGCCGAGGAGTGGCAGATGAGTTTAATTTAAATAAACATGTGATGCTGCATTTTGGTAGAGTAAATCAGGGCGGGACTTATACACTTAATGGAAATGTCGTGGGGAGTGTTGCCAAACAAAAAGACCTTTGAGTGCAGGTTCATAGTTCCCTTAAAGTGGAGTCACAGGTAGATAGGATGGTGAAGGAGGCGTTTGGTATGCTTGCCCTTATTGGTCAGTGCATTGAGTATAGGGATTGGAAGCAAATGTTGCGCTGTACAGGGCATTGGTGAGGTCACTTTTGGAATATTGTGTTCAATTCTGGTCTCCCTGTTATAGGAAAGATATACTTAAACTTGAAAGGGTTCAGAGAAGATTTACAAGGATGTTGTTGGGGTTAGAGAGTTTGAGCTATAGGGAGAGTTGAATAGGCTGGGGCTATTTTCCCTGGAGTATCGGAAGCTGAGGTGTGACCTTATGGAAGTTTACAAAAGCATGAGGGGCGTGGATAGGATGAATAGCCAAGGTCTTTTCCACAGGGTAGGGGAGTCCAAAACTAGAAGCCATTGGTTTAAGGTGAGAAGGGATGTTTTAAAAGGGACTTAAGGGGCAACTTTTTCACACAGTGGGTGGTGCGTGTATGGAATGAGCTGCCAGAGGAAGTAGTGGAGGCTGGTACAATTACAGCGTTTAAAAGTCATCTAGATGGGTACTTGAATAGGAAGGGTTTAGGGGGATATGGGTCAAATGCTGGCAAATGAGACTAGATTAATTTAGAATATCTGGTCGGCATGGGCAAGTTGGACTAAAGGGTCTGTTTCCATGCTGTACATTTCTATGACTGTATGCGTCTATTGATGAGGGCAGGGCAGTAGGCATTGCTTACTTGGGCTTTAGTAATGCCTTTGACAAGGTTTTGCATGGCAGACTAATTAGTAAACTTGGATCACTTGGAATTCAGGGTGAGCTTGTCAATTGGATACAAAATTGGCAATATGGCAGGAGATAGAGAGTGATGGTGGAGGGTTGTTTTTCAGACTAAAGTCCTGTGAATGGTGGTGTCCCCATTTGGATTGATGCTGGCTCCACTTTTGTTTGTCATTTTATATAAATGATTTAGGTGAGAATATAGAAGGCTTGGTTAGTAAGTTTGCGAATGAACAAAATTGGCAATACAGTGGACAGTGTAGAAGGTTATCTAAGACTACAAAGAGATCTTGATCAACAGGGTCAATAGGCTGAAGATTAGTAGATGGTGTTCAATTTGGATAAGTGCAAGATATTGCATTTTGGTAAAACAAACAGGGGTAGAAATTATATAGTTAAAAGTAGGGGCTTGGGTAATGTTGTACAGGATGTTGCTGAGGCCTCTTCTGGGGTACTATGTCCAGTTCTGGTCATTCTGTTATAGGAAGGATATTATTAAGCTGCAGAGGGTTCAGAAGAGATTTACCAGGATGTTGCCGGGATAGAGGGTTTGAGTTATAAAGAGAGGCTGGATAGGCTGGCGCTTTTTTCACTGGACCCAGTATGCCTGGTAGCTTTTGAAAAGCAAAAAGCACTTTTAACCAATGAGTGTGTATTAACTGCACTTAACTTTGATAAACCACAACAGAAGTTGATGATGAGCTTCCTTCTTGAACCACTGCAGTCTGTTTGGTGTGGGTAGACCCAGAATGCCTTTAGGGAGGGAATTCCAAGATTTTAACCCAGTGACACTGAAGGAACAGCAATATATTTCCAAATCAGGATGGTGAGTGGCTTGAATGGGAACTTGTAGGTGTTGTTGTTCCCATGTGTCTGGTGCTTTTGTCCTCCTAGATGAATGAGGTGGTGGGTTTGGATTGTGGGTTCTATCTCAGGAGCCTTGGTGAATTTCTGGAGTGCATCTTGTAGGTAGTACACCACTGTTACTGAGCATTGGAAGGGAGTGAATGTTGGTGAACATTAAGCCAACGAAACAGGCTGTCTTGCCCTGGATGGTGTTAAGCTTCTTCTGGTGTTAAAGCTACATTTATTAGGGCAAATGGGGAGCCAGGAGGTGAGTTACTTGCTACAGGATTCCTAGCCTCTGACTTGCTCTTATAGCCACAGTATTTACATTGCTAGTCCAGTCTAGTTTCTGGTCATTGGTAAGTCACAGGATGTTGATATCAGGGAATTCAGTGATGATAACATTATTGATGTCATGTGATGAGTATTAGATTCTCTCTTGTTGGAGATGGCCATTGCCTGGCATTTGTATGGCATGATTGTGTGCCACTATCAGCCTGATTTTTCCATGTCAGGCTGCATTTGGACGTGGACTGCTTCAGTATCTGAGGAGTCATGAATTGTGCTGAACATTGTACAATTGTCAGCGAACGTCCCGACTTCTGTCCTTATGATGAAGGAAAGGTCATTGATGAAGCAGCTGAAGATGGTTGGGCCTAGGACACTACACTGAGGAACTCCTGCAGAGATGTCCTGGAGCTGAGATGACTAACTTCTGACAACTACAACCATCCTCCTATATGCCAGGTATGACACCAACCCTGATTCTAATTGACTGTAGTTTTGCTAGGCTTCTTGATGCCACACTCGTTCAGATGTGCCCTTTACATTAAAGAGGTCATTCTCACCCCACCTCTGGGATTCAACTCTTTTGTCCATGTTTGAACCACGGCTGTAAAGAGGTCACGAGCTGAACCAAAACTGGGCATCACTGAGCAGGTTATTGCTGAGCAGGTGCCACTTGATAGCACTGTTGATGACACCTTTCATCACTTTACTGTTGATTGAGAGTAAATGGATAGGGTATTAATTGGCTAGGTTGCATTTATCCTGTTATCAGATAGATGTCAGTGTTGTAACTGTACTGGAAGAGCTTGGCTAGGGGTTTGGCCATTTCTAGAGCACAAGTCTTCAGTACTATTGCTGGAATGTTCTCAGGGCTCATAACTTTTGTCATTTCCAGTGCCTTCAGCTGTTTCTTAACATCATGAATTGAATTGGCTGAAAACTGGCATCTGTGATGCTGAGGATCTCTGAAGAAGTCTAAGATGGATCATTCACTCAACATTTCTGGCTGAAGGTTGTTGCGAATGCTTTATCTTTCTAACAGCATTGTGGAGTTACTGCCACAAAATGGACTGCAGCAGTTCAAGAAGGTAGCCCACCACCACCTTGTCAGGGGCACTAAGACAATAAATGCTTGCCAGCAAGCAAAGCCCACATTCCTTCAATGAATAAAAAAGTCAGGAAAAGAAATAGAGGATAGTATTAGATCTAAATAAGTGTCACATAAAATTGTTCAAACAAGTAACAAAGCTGAGTATTAGGAGAAATTTAGAATTTAGAATTTAGCAAAGGGTACATAAAAGATTGATCGAGAGAGGAAAACAGAGTATGAAAGTAAACTTGTAAAAGGATGTAAAAGTGAACTGTCAGAACTTGTATAATTTTGTAGAAATAAAAAGATTATTGAAGATAAGTGTACAATCTGAAATGGGCAGAATTGATTACTGAGAACATGGGAAAGGCAGGGCAATTAAACAGCTACTAGATATGTTTTTATAGCTCAAAGGGCCAAATGACCTCCCACTTTCTCTGGTTCCATATATGACTCCATTACTTTGTTATCTATGAATAATTTATTTCTTATTCATGTAATTGCTACATTACCAAGTGAAAACTTTAATTATATATCTGTTTTTTCTGTGTCAGCGGATAATGTATTTCCAGATGTTTGCCTTTGCTGAACTAAGTTACATACTCACGCTTTTTCAACTGCTTCAAGTTCTCTGAAACTTATGAATCACTGCAATGTCAAGTCTTTAATTAAACTTACTGAAGTGAAAATTTATCACAGCCAAAGACAAAAGATTTACAGCACTGCAATGGAAAAGAGAAATCTGTAGCAGGTTTGCAATCTTAGACTCTGAAGAACTTTTTCCGAAGAGTGTTGATTCTCTTTCTAAAGAAAGAGGGAAGGAGTTGGGATTGAAAGCATGAACATCTCTTCACCCACTGACAGCCAGTCAAGGAGCATCAGGCACTATTGACGCAGAACTCTGTCAACTGGTTCCTCACCAGAAAGTGTGGAAGAAGGAATTTTACGTGACCCTTCAGGATTACAGATGGGGTCAGTCCTTTCCCAGACTGTACTGCTCTTACAGCCTTGTATATTCTCCAGTCAGGGCTTGAAGCTTTTTTGTACAAAAGGAATTACATTTATACGTACATTTTATCATCTCAGGACACTCCAAAGTGGCTCGACAGCCAATGAAGCACTTTTAATGTATAGTCACAGTTGCTACTTGGGAATTGCAGCAGTCAACACACACACAGAAAGCTGATTTCCTTCTTTAAAAGACTTTTGCAAATCAAATGGTTTTGTTTTATGACCAATGATGAAAGGTTATCATGACTGAGACTAGCTTTATTTTCCAGATATTGTGGTGGGATGTGAACCCATTGCCCCAGGACATCAGCTAAAGCCTCTAGATTAGTAGACCAGTGATGTGACCACCGAACCACCATCTCCCCACTCAGTGCCCAAGACTATTGGCTGAACCATAGATAACACATAGTGACCGTGACTGTCATAGGATTTCATGTTTAACTGTTTCTTATTCCATCATATCAGGTCACATCTTGTTTCAAACGGATCTAGCCTTTTGCCATTCACATATGATTCCCTAGTCACTCCAAAGCTTGTACTTATATATATCATCTTCATAACTTTATTTAAAATATGCATTAATTGTCCTCTCCCTGGCTTACAAATAGCCACTAATCCATCTGTCTCTCTTATTACCTCCTCTGAATCCTCCTTCCCACCCTTGCAGTCTGATGGTTGTATACTCTCCTGAACAGGAAGATTGATGTTTTAGTTTTATCCTCAAGGTCTAGTCTCTTCCACTGTTCAATTTATCCCATCTCCATTCAAATCTTGCCTTCACTAGCCATCTCTGTATTGATCTCTGCATGCTCTGTCCTCCTCATGGTTTCCTTCCCACTGTTCTCAAGCGACTGGCCTCTGAACGTACCATTAGTCTCTATGATTCTTTCAAATTCTCAGTCTACTTTGTCTTTTCTTTTTCAGTTATCCTATCTTCACTCCAACCATAGTAATGATGATTCCCTCTCTAACTGCACTTGTATCCATTCTTTTCTAAAAAGTAATGGGGCTGTTATTAGATTATAATTTAGGAATTTCCTCTCTAGCTGATGAGGCTCACAGCTGTCCTAGTGGCCATCTTGTTTCTACTGGCCTCTCCCGAAACCATGAAGAAAATGTTGTCAAACATCATTCCTCTTTAAAATCTGTAACAGTCTCCAGTCAAGAAGCCTCACTATCTCTCCCACTTGGCAACTGGCAGAATTTAAATTTAGTTAAAAAGCCTGGAATTACAAAGCTAGTCCCAGTAGTGGTGACCATGACAATTAGTATTGATTGCTATAAAAACCCATCTGGTTCACCCACATCCTTGAGGGAAAGAGATCTGCCACTCTGCCTGTCTGGTCTACATGTGACTCCAGACTGACAGCTATGTGGGCTGACTCTTAACTGTCCTTCGGAATAGCCTAGCAAGTCTTGATTCCAGGGCAATTAGAGATAGGCAATAAATCTGGCCTTGTCAGTAATGCCCACATCCTGTGAAAGAATAAAGAAAAAAAAAACACCATGGGCTTCCTGTAGACTTTCAGTTGGAAACCCTGAATTATCACAAGGGTTTATACGGTAAACAGAAATTCAATGTTGGAGCAAAACACAACTGAAGCACGTCAGCACCATGCTTGTAATGCAACTGTATGCCAAGTTTGGAATTTGTGCCAATCCAACCTACCTCATAGGATGTGAAACAAACATTGCCCAGCTGCAAGATGGAGGACAAGATGGACCACGTTGTTTTCAGTTGATCCTCCAACAGCCCAATTCTTCCTAGAGAATGCAGCAAACGTAGGAAGTCCTCGTGCTCCTGTTTGCTAGTGATCTCACATGCTCCACCCTGCCCAAGATGCAGAGACAAACCTCAGAGCAGCAGATATTGGGCTAGTCAATAATTACAGAGTAGGCAGCGGCGCGCAGTAACCCAGCAACCTTAAAATGCCTCACTAAATGATCATCATCCAACAATACAAACATATGATAAATAATAACTGGACTGTATCAACAGGTGCTCCAGTCTGTTCCACACCAGCATGATGCCTTTAACTTGCATCTCCCACATGGTTTCTGACAAGAGCAAAATAACTCAAATCAATGAGGGGGAAAGAACCGGAAATATTCTTCTCTCCTTTCTGGCGACTGAATTAGTCCCAGAGCCACTGTTCAATAAGATCCTGGCTAATCAGTATATCAATTCCATTTAGCCACTTTTCTATGGTCCTTTGAAACTTCTACTGATTGAAAAATGATCAATCTCAGTCTGAAATCTCAAACTGGCCTTCAGCACCTACAGGAGGGTCAGAGGTCCCCTTCCTGTGAAGAACGGCTTTCTGATATTGTTCCACAATGATCCCCCTCTGATTATGTTCTTGATCTCCCTCAACGTTGGAAATAGTTTCTCCATATTTACGTGACCGAGTCCTCAGAACATTTTTTAACAATATTCTCTGGGTAGGGGAGAACTATTAAAATCTCCATAAGGTAAATTTTTTGTGGTTCAGTTCTGGAAATCACTGCCTGAGGATGTGGGGACCACATATTCAATCATTGCTTCCAAAAGGGCTTAGGAAGTACCTGAAGTCAGGTTGAAGGATCACAGGAAAAGGTGGGGCAGTGAGCTGAATTGAGTTTATCTTGCACTGAGCAAGTATGGTCACAATGGACTGAATTGCCTCTTCCTGAGTTGCATATATTTTCCAATTCTATTCTAATTCTGTCCCTAACCAGTTCAGTTGAAAAACACAGTTTCCACTAAGACAACCAACACGAACACCATCACCTTATTTTTGATCAAATCACTCATAATCCACATTTCTCAAAAGAATAAAGCCCCATCTCTTTGGGACTATCAGCATAACAGTGGGTCTATGGCACACAAACCCAGACAGTATGTGAAAGCATAGTTGAGGCATTTTAATCTGCTTATTCATCTGTAGGCTCCCACTTAAAGTTTTTCAGAACTTCTTCCATCACCTGAAGACGCTAAAACTATACATTGTGACTGAGGCCTAAACAGGAATTATTTCAGCATCCACATGTTAAAGTATTTAATCTTTGTTTGAATGGAAAGAGTGAAAGTGTGTGCAGAGAAATAAGGTGGCTAATGAACTTAGAGCTTCACAGGATTAGTTGAGGGGTAATTTAATCAAGGTGTTTAAAACGATAAAGGGATTTAATAGAGAAATAGACATGGAGAAAGTACTTCCTCTGGTGGGTGAGTCCAGAACAAGGAGGAGAATCTTCAAATTACAGCCAGTCATTCAGAAGGTCTTGTCGGCGGTCTGGCTTAATCTCTGGTGAAAGCTTCCCGCCCGGCGTTCCAACTTCCCAGCGTTCCGAAGGTCCGGTGTGGCGTCTTTGTCCGTGTTGGCGGTCTTTTCCCGGTGGTGTTTTCTTCAGTAGATGCTTTCTGCCCTGCATTCCGACTCCTGGTGTTCCGACTCCCGGCATTCTGGCTCCCCGGTATTCCGAATCCCGGCGTTCTGATCCCCAGCATTCTGACTCCCTGGCATTCCGATTTCCCGGTGTTCCAACTCCCGGCATTCCTACTTCCTGGCATTCTGACTCCCCAGCGTTCTGACTCCTGGCATTCGACTCCCGATGTTCTGACACCCGACGCTCCTACTCCCCGGCATTCTGACTCCTGGTGTTCCTACTCCCCAGCAATCTGACTCCCCGGCATTCTGACTCCCCAGTGTTCTGATTTTCCGTCATTCTGACCTCCTGGCGTTCCGAGTCCCGATGTTCTGACTCCCGGTGTTCTGGCTCCCGGCTTTCCAACTCCCCAGCGTTCCGACTCCCCGGCCCGGCAATTTTCCTCCAGGGTAGTGGTCTTGTCCTGGAGGTGGTTTTCTTCAGCAGAGGCTTTCGGCCCAGTTTTCCTGGTGTCCCAGCCTAGTGTTCTCATCATGGATCAATGGTCTCGTTCTGTCTGTGCGTTACATCTTTCGATCGGCTTCCTCCGAAACCGGGACCCGTTAAATGGACTGTGATAAACTTTGGTCTTAAATTTACTTTTTATTGTTATTTATGAATTTACTTATGACTTCTGTCATTAATACAGGAGTCATGCTAAGGTGACTTATAACACTTTTCATTGTATTTTTTTTGTAGAAGTACACATGACAGTACATTCCAAATTCAAATTCAACATTCATCCATATGAATTAGGACCAGGAGTAGGCCATTCAGCCCCTTGAGCTTACTCCACCATTCTAAAAGATCATGGCTGATCCGATTTTAACTTCAAATCCACATTTCCCCCGACCACAAATAATGTTTCACCATCCAAGATTTTCAGAAATTCATCTACCTTTGATATCTAAACCATGATCCTAGTTCAATATCCTACGGCAAAAGGAAATCTGCATCTACTCTGATCTTTATGATGCTGCTTGGCCTGCTGTGTTCATCCAGCCCTGCACCTTGTTGTCTCGGATTCTCCAGCATCTGCAGTTCCTACTATCTCTGCATCTGCTCTGCCAAGTCCCTTAGGGATTTTATATGTTTTAATCAAATTCCTCTGAATTTTCTAAACTCCAGTAGATGTAAGCCTTGCCCATCCAGTCTTTGCTCATAAGACAATCCATCCAGAAATCAGTATCTTCTCTGAACTGTTTCCAATGCTTTAAATAAGATTAATTCTTCCTTAAGCAAGATTAATACTGTGCACAGTGCTCCAGATTTAGTCTCACCAGTGTCCTGTATAACTGCAGCCTTTTTTTGCATTCAATTCCCCTTGCAATAAATGATCATTTTCATTCGCTTTTGTAATTATTTGTTGTACCTGGTAGCTAACATTGTGATTCATGCACTAGAACACCCAATTCTATCTGCAATCTCTCACTATTCAGATAACACAATTGTTTTTCATTCTACTGAAATGCACAGTTTCTCAGTTTTCCGCATTGTACTCCATTTGACAAATTAATGCCCACTCACTTCACCAATCCATATCCCTTTGTAACCTCCTTACATCCTCTTCACAACTCAATTGAACTTTTTTAGTTGACCACAGACGGTCATTCCTCACATAAAGTGGAGCAGAAACCATAACGCTGTTCCCCAAATGTCTAAAGAACATAGAACATAGAAACCAGGAGCAGGCATAGGCTATTCAACCCTTTGAACCTGCTAAGGTACTCAATACGATCATGGCTGATTGTCCATCACAATGGTCTCATAATCCCACATTCTTCCCATGCCCCTTTGAAGTCTGAAAAACAAAACCCTCTTTCTTGAATATATTCAATGATTTGACCTCCATTGCCCTCCGTGGCAGTGAATTCTGCAGGTTCACTACAGTCTGAGTGAAGAAATGTTTCCCAATCTCAGTCCTAAATGGTCTAACCCATTACCTGAGACAGTGTTCTCTGGTTCTAGACTCCCCAACCAGAAGAAACATCCTCCCTGCATCTAGACTGTCCAGCCCCATTAGAATTTTAAATGTTTCAATCAGAACCTCTTGCATCCTTCAAAACTCTAGAGAATACAGGCCTAGCCAAACCAATTCATTCTTATAGGTGGTTGTTAGCTCAGTTGGTTGGATGGCTTGTTTGCCAATGCAGAGTGATCTCAGCAGTGTGGGTTCAATTCCTGTGCTGACTGAGGTTACCATGAATGCCTTGCCTTCTCATCTTTGCTCCTCACTTGAGGTATGGTGACCTTTAGATTAAACTCACCACCAGTCTTCTCTCTGTATTGATAGAGCAGTTCTCTAGGACTATAGTGACTACCATGTGTTTTCTCACTTAACTTTCTAAATTATCTTGAAGCCTCCTTGGATCCTCCTCACAACTAACTTAGAAATGTTGCATTTAGGTCTGTTATAGAATGTCATGATTAGCTGGGCCCAAGCATTGATCCTTGTGGTATCCCATTAGTCACTGTCTGTCACTCATTAAAGCCCATTTATTCCCACTCTCTGCTTCCTGTCTGTCAACCAATTCTCAATCATATTTCCCTTATCCTACATACTTTAACTTTGTCCACTTACATCTTGTGAGGAACTTATCAAAAGCTCCTGAAAATCCAAATATACCATATCTACTGGTTGTCCTTCATCTACTTTATTAGTTGCATCCTCAAAAATCTCCAGTAGGTTTGTTAAGTTTGACTTGCTTTCATAACCCATGCTAGCTTTGTCCTATCCAGCTAACGCTTTCCAAATTACTTCTTCTCACATCTTTTATAGTAGTCTCTTGCATTTTCCCCAGTTCTGATGTAAAGCTAACTGGTCTATAATTCTCTGCTTTTTTCTTTCCCTCAAATTTGGTTGTTACTTTTCTTCTCTCCAGTCTGTAGGAATTGCTTCAGAGTCAATATAATTTATTTATTATCTTGATTTATTTATTATTTATTATCACATATTTTATTATAAAATACAGCGAAAAGTGTCGTGTAGGCTCGCCACTCTCCGGTACCGTCTTAAAATACAGAAAAATAAACCACAAGGTAGAATATAAGGGCAGACAAACAAAGAAATAAAGTTCAACTTTACCATCGTTCTTGTTAGGTGCTCAGCCATGGGCCTGGAACAGCCAGCCACAAGTCCCCTTGCCATGCTGCCAGAACAAGAGTTGCTGCTCACTGGCACCAACTCACCTCCACTGAAGCTGTCACCACCAAAGGCCTTCACTGGACCTCTGCAATACAGCTGCCAATGAAGCTGCTGGGTCCTGCATCACACCAAAGCATCTGATGTTTCCAGGGCCACTTCCTTTAGTACTCTGGGATGTCAATTATCAGGCCCTAATTATTTGTCAACCGTTAACCTTATTAATTTCTCCAGCACCATTTTCTTAATAATACTGACTTCCTTCAATTCCACCCTCTCACTAGACCCTTGGTTCCCTAACATTTCTGTGGAATTGTTTATGCTCTTTTTTGTGAAGACAGAACCAAAGTATATGTTCAATTCTTCTGCCATTTCTTTGCTCCCATTATAATTTCCTGATATTTTATTGTAAAAAACCTACATTTATTTTTACTAACCTTTTTCCCTTCATATATTTATAAAATCTTTTATGATCAGTTTCTGTGTTCACTGCAATTTTATGGTCGACTCTATTTTCCCCCCTCAATCAAACTTTTTGTCCTCTTTTGCTGAATTCTAAATGGTCTCAATTCTCAATCTTGCTGCTTTTTCTGGCAATTTTATATGGCTCCTTTTTGGATCCAATACTATCCCTAATTTCCTTTGTAGGACATTGTTGAGCAACCTTTCCTGTTCTACTTTTGTGCCAGAATTGTGCCAGATTGAACAATTGTTGTAATTCATGCACATGTTCTTTAAATATGACCTATTGCCTATCGCCCATCAACCTTTTTAGTAAGGTTTGGCAAACCATCCTTGCCAACTCATGTCTCATACCGTCATAGTTCTGTTATGGACCAAACCAAATGCCCTCAAAACATATCAAGGGGATAGCCTAGACCCTGACTTTTTATCTTATTTAAATGTGCTGTGGCCCAGATGTGACTTGATTCGTCAAACAACTAGGTTTTAAGCAAAACACACTTGATTCTTAAACCACAGTTAAAACACAAACTTTAACGCTATCGAAATACAACCATAAAAAATATTTTAACTACTACTCATCTACTGGTCCAATATAGCAGCATCCCTTAAACATACCCTTGGCAAAGGCAAATTCAGCAAAACAGATTTCCCTCATTTGCTATCTCCTCCAGTCAGGAGAAGGAACACCAACTGAATGAATCTAGCAGCAGAGAGATAGCTCAAGCTTTTTGCTGCAGCAGAAAGAGCTATATAACTTTGTTCTTTCTTTCAACTTTGTTCTTAAGATTCTGCACCTAAGTACTTATACCTAAGATGATGTCTTATGTGGCAACATTATTCATTTTTTACTGTATCCCTGTACTTTTATACTGAAGTACACGTGATAATAGAATCAAAATCAGTTTTAACTCCAAAACCCATCTTCAACAACTGAAAACAAAACTAAAACCTGGGTCTGTGTGAGCCTGACTCCACCCACTTATACTTCTTTTGTCCACTTGAAAAAAACCAAAGCTATTTACTCAGCTTTCCATGGAGCAGACACCTCTTTACCAGGTTTACAACATCCCTCTTCAAGAGAAACAGGACAGAACAAATCCCTCTTAAACGCACACATTGTCACAATTTGGTCTATTCAGATTTAGGGCCCCAGTTTCATTCTCAACTACATCGCTCTCCATCAGAATATAGTTGCTCTTTCCAATGGGCCCCCTCACAACAAGACTGTTAATTAATCCTTTCTCATTGCATAGCATACACTCTAAAATAGACTGTTCTCTGGTTGGTTCCTCAATGTATTGGCCTAAAAGAACTATTGCTATCTATGTGCTTTCTTGCTAAGCTGAAGCCTTAAACGTGGGTGACGATAGACAGGAATCTGTTGGAATTTTCAAATGCAGAGGTATGAACTGGAAATGAATAAGTACTTTATCAGAAAGTCATCCAAATCTCTATTGCCTATATCTTAACTTGCAGCAAGTCCCGTTCACTGTGCTCACTGATCTGCAGGGTATGTTTGTCCATTTACAGTAAACTGATAGCAGAGAGCAGAGGGGACATTCCTACCTGATTGAGGTAGAAGTATGTTTCTGATTGCTGTAGACTCAGTTCTTGTTTCTGTATGTCATCCAGGCCTGCCAGTAGCTCATAAAACACATGGTAATTACGCTCATTACGTGCCTTAAAGATAAAAGAGCCATCGGTAGCCAACTGACAGAAATTTATCAACCTCTATTAAGTCAGAAATTAACTCAAATCCTCACAATGTACAGAGTTACTTTACATAGTGACCAGGCCAATATTCACAAAACACTGACCTGAAAGACAAGCCTTGACCTTTCCAGCAGATAGTGGGAGATGGAGGTTCCAACAACCTGGCCTCTGGAGCATTGCAAACAAAACATCAGTTTCCCAACCAGCGACCTCATCAAAGACACATGGATTAGTGAGCTATTATTGATTTTGTCCAGATTTGATCTTTACATTGCTTCTGTTCTCACGGCAGATTGCATTGCTGGTGCTTTGTAAAAATCACACCACATTTAAACTTCCCAGCACACAACACGGCAGACAGCATGTAGAACAAGACTTAGAACTTTCTCAGATAGAGGAGGGAATGTTTGTGTAGTGGTCTAGTCACTAAACTAGTAATGCAGAACTCAGGCTAATGCTCTGGGGACATAGGTTTAAATCCCACCACAACAGATGGTGAAATTTGAATTCGATTAACAAAACTGCAGGCATACTGGCAAGGGTGAAATGATTGTGGTTAAAAACCCATCTGGTTCTCCGATGCCCTTTTGAGAAGAAAATCTGCCATGCTTAATTATTTGTATTTTTAATTCCTTCATAGGATGTGGGCATCTCCAGCTGGGTAAGCAGTCATTGCCCATCTTTAATTGTCATTAAGAAGGTAGTGATGAGCTGCCTTCTTTGAACCACTGGAGTCCTTCCCATACAGACACCCACACTGCCATTAGGGAGGGAGTTTCAGGATTTTGATCCAGTGACAATGAATGAATGGCGATGTATTTCCAATTCAAGGTGGTGAGTGGCTAGGACGGGAACTTGTAGGTGGTGGTGTTCCCACATCGATGATATCATCGGTACTGCTTCCCTCTCTCGTCCAGAATTGGAAAACTTCATCAACTTCACCTCCAATTTCCACCCTGCCCTCACTTTCACCTGGTCCATCTCTGACTCCTCCCTTCCCTTCCTTTACATTCCTGTTTCCATTTCTGGGGATAGACTGGCCACTAATATCCATTACAAACCCACTGACTCCCACTGCTACCTGGACTATACATCTTCACACCCTACTTCCTGTAAAGACTCCATCCCATTGTCTCAGTTCCTCCGTCTCTGTCGCATATGTTCAGATGAGACCAACTTTGACAAGGGAGCCTCCGAAATGTCCACCTTCTTCCTCAACCAAGGATTCTCCAGCTCTGTTGTCGACAGGGCCCTCAACCAGGTCCGACCCATCTCCTGCACTTCCGCCCTCAACCCTTCTCTTCCCTCCCGCAACAGCAATAGGGTTCCCCTTATCCTCACCTACCATCCCACCAGCATCCACATCCAGAAGATCATCAGACGCCATTTCTGCCACCTCCAGTGAGATGCCACCACCAGACACATATTCTCCTCCCCTCCCTTGTCCGCCTTCCGCAGGGACCTTTCCCTCCAGGACACCCTGGTCCACACTTCCTTCACTTCCATCTCCCCACAGCCCTATGGCACCTTCCCCTGTAACTGTCGAAGATGCAACACCTGCCCATTTAACTCCTCCCTCCCCAGTATCCGAGGGCCCAAACGTACCTTCCAGGTGAAGCAACACTTCACCTGCACTTTCCAGAATCTAGTCTACTGCATTCGCTGCTCACAATGTGGTTTCCTCTGCACTGGGGAAACGAAGCGTAGACTTGGCGACCGCTTCGCAGAACATCTACATTCTGCTCACAAAAAAGACCCTGAACTACCTGTTGCCTGCCACTTTAATGCACCATCCTGCTCCCTGGCCAATATCTCTGTCTCTGGCCTGCTGCAGTGTTCCAGTGAAGCCCAATGCAAGCTGGAGGAACAACACTTCACTTTCCGCTTGGGGACCCTGCAACTGTCTGGACTCAATATTGAGTTCAATAATTTTAGGGCCTAAACTCTCCCATGTCCCACTCCCCCACCCCACATACCAGACCTTGTTACCACATAGGCTGCCATTACACACCCCCTGTTGTTAGTCACTAACAGTCCCCATTAACAACTATTCACCCTCCCAGCCTGATAGTTAGCAACTCCTTTGTCTATCCAAATGTCTTTCTCTCTCTTTGGGCTCTATCCTATCATTTACTCCCTAACCCACCGACCTCCTTATTTTCTGCATATAAACTGACGTTTTCCCAGCCACCACCAATTCTGGGGAAGGGTCACTGGACATGAAATGTTAACTCTGTTTTTTCCTTCGCAGATGCTGCCAGACCTGCTGAGCTTTTCCAGCAACTTTGCTTTTGCTCCTAGTCACTAACCTGTTCTTGCCACAATATTTATATAGCTGGTCCAGCTCAGTACCTGGCCACCCCTCGAATGCTGATACTGGGGAATTCAGTGACATTGTTGCCACAGATCATCTAGAGACAATGATTAGAATCTGTCTTCTTGGATATGGTCACTGCCTGGCACTTTTGTGGCATGAATGTTTCTTGTCACTTATTAGCCCAAGCCTGGATACTATCCAGGTCTTACCTCTTTTGGATATGGTCTGCTTCAGTATCTGAGGAATCACTAATGTTGTTGAATATTGTGCACTCATCAGTGAAAACACAACTTCTGATCTTAAGATGGAGGAAGGTCATTGGTGAAGATTTTTGCGCCTAGGGCACCACTCTGAGGAACTCTTGCACGGGTGGCTTGAGTCTGAAATGACTGAACTCCAACAACCACAACCTGGTCTGGCCTACAGTTGACACCAGACCCACAGCAATGAGTTTCACACTCTGAAATGGCCTAGCAAGCCAATCAATTGTGTATGACTTCTAAGTGTTTCAAAGAAAGGAATTAAACAAGATAAATTACTCAACATCGACCTAGGCATTGTAAATGAAAAAAGCAAACACAACCTTTTCAAGCTCACAAGTCCTTACTAAAACTGGGGACTTGTGCCAAAACTGGGAGAGCTGTCTCACACAGAATGGTCAGGCAACACCCTGAATTGAATCACAGCTAACAACTGACATCCCAGACACCACCATTACTGTCCTTGGATATGGCCTGACCCACCAATAGGATAGTCCTAGCAGTAAGTGGTGTACAGCCAGGAGTGAGTTGCCCTGGGATTCCTCAACATTGACTCTGCACCCCATGAAGTTTCATGGCACCAGGTCAGACATGGGCAAGAAAATCTTCTACTAAATACCATGTATTACACACTGTCATTCTTACAGAATTAGACCATACAGAAAATGTCCCAGACAACACCATCACTCTCCCTGAGAAAGTCTTTTTTCATGAGTGAGACGAAACCCAGCAGAAGTGGCAACATCGTGATCTACAATCAGGAGAGCATTGCTCTGCGAGTTTTCAACATTGACCCTGGATCCCATGAAGCCTGAAGGCCTCAGGTCAAACAGAGAAAGAATCCTCCTGCTGATTATCACATACGCCCCAATCTCAGCTGATCAGTCAGTACTCCTCCATGTTGGACACCACTTGGAGGAAACTCTGACAGTGGCAAAGACACAGAATGTACGCCAGGGTGAGGGATTCCAATGTCCATCCCCATAGTGGCTCAGCACCCCACTTGTGGCTGAATCCTAAAACATATAGCTACTAGACTCGGTATGCAGCAGGTCTGAGGAAACCAACAAGAGGGCAAATCCAGCTGGACCTCACCTTCACTAATTTGCTTGCCACAGGCACATCTGTCTTTGACAGTATTTGTAAGAAGTTGCTGGAAAAGCTCAGCAGGTCTGGCAGCATCTGTGAAGAGAAATCTGAGTTAACGTTTCGGGCCCAGTAACCCTTCCTCAGAACGCAAAAGCAGACTTTCAGCTGGCAGAATTTCTACAAAGCCCCATGTGGGCAAATTGCAGACACTGGAGGTAAGGCAGAAGATGGTTTAATGATGAGCAGACAGCAAAGCTTTGGAAAGCAACAAGGTCTTGTCCAGGAATTGACGGTACTACTCAGTCCATTTGGCAAAATAGTAGTGAACATTCCCATCCCCAATCTCAATGCACCCTTTCAGCAGGTGACTATCTAGTAATCAGCCATCTATGTCCCCAGCAGTCAGGAAACTTAGTTCCCAATGATATTGAAACTTAGTTCAGTAGAAATCACAATCTACACAGTAAATGCAACCCATCCACTGATATGTGGGTTTAGTGCCATTATTAAATAGACATATGTAAATTTGGACAAGACAGCAAACATTGGGTTAGATAGCAGATCAATCATTTGTTACTTACTGAAGGATATGGATCCATAGGAGTTTCCCAAACCTGCTGGAGTTATTGTTCAGGACAGTTTTGGCATTCCCAAAGGCTTCCAGGATGGGAAAGACATCAGTTACCTGTGGTGAGGAGCAATATAGGTCAGGTTACATCTTACTGCTTTCATAATCCACATTGACAAGACAAGTGTACATAGGATGTCAGGAACATAGATAGGATGAATGTGCTGTCAGCTTATGCGTATACAACACGCAAACTGGAATGTAGTATTTTACCCATGTGGCAAAAAGGAAACAGTATTAACACTACTGGAGCACTGTATACACAAAGGCCCAGATTTTCTGATGGCCAGACAGGCACTATTCCAGTGCAGACTAGAATTGCACATGGGAACTCTGTGGAATCCCTATCACAGCACAATCCAACGAATTTCCCAGGAAATTGAATTTTCTGCTGTACAACTGCTTAAGGCCTGACAGTCACCAAAAATCTCCATTTAAATCAGACACTTCAGAGGGTTCCAATGAAATTAAATAAAATAGTTTCTCAGGAAAATTAGACCATTAACTATATAGTCTAACCCCTGAGTACCACAATCCTGACCCCCATGACAGCACCCCAGACTCCTTTCAACCAGAACCTGACATATCCCTTTGTCCCCCACCAGGGGGCTGATATTCACTGCCCACTGTGGACACAACACCCCTATCTTCCAATCTGGACACATACCCCTTTTCCTTTAATCTGGACCCACTTCTTCATTCCTCTGTTCTAGACAAGTTCCACTTTGTTGCGCCCAACTCCTCTCTCAATTTGCTCAATCTGCCTCACCCACCTCCACTGGGACCTGGTCTTGCCCTCCCCTACACCAGAGCTGATCTGTCTCTGCATCCCCTGCTCCCTCCATCTTGGTACTGGACTCCCATTTCCAATGACTCAACCCTCTTTAACCTGACACCTATCCTGCCCAACCCCATCTCCCATCCATAGGTTAGCCATCGAAAATGCACGGTTACAAGGATACATAGGGGGGAGGGCACAGTTCTGGGTGGGATGCCGTTCAGAGGGTCGGTGTGGACTTGATGGGCTGAATGGCCTTCTACACTTTAGAGTTTCTATGCTCCTCTGACCTATCCTAAACACTGTGTCATCTACCTGGAATGAGCGCAGGATGAGGTGAGTCAAGTTGCCAACAGTAGTTCAATAGCTGCTGGAGGCCACATCACAAAAATCTCCCAGAATGAAATATCAAGCAATCTTTTCCCAGCTCAAATATGATGCAAATTTTAAAATGACCACCTTCTTCCAAAGTTGCCCATCATTTTTCTGCTTAGTTACTTATAAATTTAGAAACTAATATTAATTTCTTTTAATTAGATTGTAGAATAGATCATAGAATCCCTACAGTGTGGAAACAGGCCCTTCAGCCCAACAAGTCCACTCTGACCCTCAGAGCATCCCATCCAGACCCATCCCCCTGTGACCAACATAATCTACACATTCCTGGACACGACTAGCAATTTCCCATGGCCAATCCACCTAACCTGTACATCTTTGGACTGTGGGAGGAAACTGGAGCACCCAGAAGAAACCCATGCAGACACGGGGAGAATGTGCAAGGTCCAGCGCTATCCTGGAGAGAGATGGTAACAGTGGATGAAGTCTGCCTGCAAACAGTCAAGATGGAGTTAGACCAGTCTGTCACAAAGATCACGTAAAGTAATCTCTTCAGGAGGCTTGCTTAACGTGATCTCTTTGACTGGTTTCCATCACCTGAAGGGGTAAGAGTGACCTCCCAGATTTTTCACTGTTACCTATTTGCCACTGTAACCACTTGGCAACAAGGGCAAGGCAGAGGAGAGAGGAACACAAGGTGTTTGGGCCATATTTAGCTCTATTTGAATGTGGGTGCTGCTGATTTGACCAGCGTTGGCCATGTCCATAGACATCGACATCTGACATGTGCCAACATCTGAGAACGCTCATGACACATCTCTGATTCACTACAGGACACTTCTGCACTTCAATACTGCACCTGTGGCTGTACTGGCAGATGTCATTGCAATGCTGCAGAAAGGAGTCTGAGCACCCAGGGACACACATGCAGCTCGTAGACTGAACTAGAATGCATCTTGGGTCTGTTCACTTGCTCTCCTTCTGAGCATTTCCTGCATTGACTGGGTGCAGCTCCAACAACATTCAAAAAACTTGACACCATCCAGGACAAACTAGCCGCTTGATTGGCATCACATTAACAAACATTCACCTCCTCTACAACTGATATTTAGTAGCAACGCTGTGTCGTATCTACAAGACTCACTGCTGAAATTCACCAAGGCTCTTAGACTACATCTTCCAAACCCACAACTGCTTCCATTTAGAAGGACGAGGGCAGTGAATGCACAGCTCCTGGGATTTGCCACCAACATGGCAAACAGGGAAAAATTGGCACCATGCTTTGCAGAGAGAGACCTTGAGGTCCTGCTGGGCAGTTTGGTACAAAGACAGCACTTCGTCTTCCTGTAGAATCAGCAAATGAGGCCACCGTCACTGGGTCAAAATCCTCCCTAGCAGCACTGTGGGTATATCCATACTGCAGGAATGCAGCAGTTCAGGAAGTTACTCATCACCATCTTCTCAAAGCAAAGGGCCTATAAATACTGAAACTGACAGAGAAGCTCATACTTGAATAAACAAAGGTTTCTCATCCATGCTGACCGAATGTGCCTCAGTGCTTCAGTAAACAGGCCATTATTCCGCTGAGAAGCTGGCTTGTGTGGACATCATTGACTTCAATCATATCCTCGCACAATGGCCAAATGTTCTCCTAACTGGGGCCAATGGACTTTGAGCAGGGGCACAATGTTAGCTGTATTTTTGCACCTTAACCCTGAGCTCTGAGGCAAATTGTTGGCCATCAGGGGCCAGATCAGCTTAGAATAGATCAACTTAGATTGATGCCTACATTTTCTGGTTTCTATCAACAATGGCAGAGAAATATCTCACAGACACTTTCAGGCTTTGGGATAATGAGCTCTGAGTGTGTGTGAAAATTGTGTGTGAAATGTGTTTGCTTGTTTATTTCCATGGATGTGTTCTGCTATTTGTATGTGTAGGTGTACCTGGTTGTGTGATATGTGTCTGAAATGTGCAGTTGTACAGGATACATATTGTATTTATCTGTCGCATGTTCATACATGTTTCAGGTACAGAGTGCACACATGCATGCAATAAGACATATACATGAGTGCTGTTTACCTGTGTGTGACTGCATGTTCATTTCTGTTCTGGTTTGATATGTACATATATAGCAGCATACTTATGTGTGCTGTTTATTTGTGTAAAATGTATGTGTTTGTGTGGGCAAGCTATGTCTGTTTGTGTAAGGTACGTGTGACCATAAGACCACAATACATGGCAGTAGAAGGAGGCCATTGAGCCCATCAAGTCTGCTCTGCCATTCTATGAGATAATTGCTGATCTGGAAATCCCCAACTTTATTTTCCTGCCTTGATTCCCTTATTGATTAAAAATGTACCTATCTCAGCATTGATTATATACTTAATGACACCAATTCAACAGCCCTCTGTGGTAAAGAATTCCACAGATTTACAACACTGTTAGAGATTAAATTCCTCCTCATCTCTGTTTTAAATGTGCAACCTGGGATTATGCAGTTTGGTCCTAAACTCTCCAACAAGGATAATGACTTTTCCACATCCATCCTGTCAAGCACTCTGAAAATCTTGTGTGTTTCAATGAGATCACCTCTCATTCTTCTATATACTATTGAGTACAATCTACTCAACCTTTCCTCATAAGACAGTCTCTCAATACCTGGTATCAGCCTAGCGAACCTCCCTTGGTGTGTGAATGAGTTTCTGTGTATGCTGCATCTGTGTTTGTTTGCTATGTGATTATTGTTATGATCATGAAGTGTACAAGAGTATATCTTGAGATGTCTTGAAATTTACAGTAAATGAAGGGTTTCATGTGACCTGCTCTGCAATTTCACGACAATAAACCTGGGTGCTTTGTAACAGAGATCAAGGGAAGGTTTAGGATTTTTGCTGAGAAGAGGAAAAAAGTGTTTGGCAATGGAGCAGTATGAGTTTACATTGAATAGACCCTGATCTCTCAAAGTCCCAGAAAGGTATTATATAGGTTTTGGGTTTTAAACTGTTGTGTTGTAAACTATCCATTTACCTCTAACTTTTAAGGAAGACATATAAGATCAAGAGTAGGTAATTAGCATTCATCCTTGGATGTAAAGTCACTGTGCTCCTCATTGTCATGGGGAAGAGGATAGAAAAAATCATTTTTGAGGTCAGGTTACAGGATTCCCTACAAATTAAGGAATTTCTCAGACAGAGAAGGATGCTCTGACTAGCAGAAAGCAAAGGCACGGCCAGAATTGGGAGAAAGATAGATCCTAGTTAATGAAACACATCGTTTAGCCTTCTACAGATTCCAAGAGATTTGTTCTGTTCTGGCCAGGGGAAGACTCATCAGAACAGAATTTACTGCTGGTGGTGTATTTAAAAAAAACTCTCAATAGTGATGAAACTACCAAGAGAACTTAAAGTTTCTTCTTGGAAAAGTTGGATATGGAATTCACTGCAAGGCTGCTACAAGGACTGTAATTCCACATAGAGTGTGATGGTGACAAGCACAAAAGGGAAGTTCTGTAGTATAGAGGACAAAAAGAGAATAGTTTTTTTTATTCGTTCACAGGATGAGAGTGTCATTGGCCAGACCAGCACTTGTTGCCCATCCCAGAAGGCAGTTAAGAGTCAACCACATCACTCTAGTTCTGGAGTCACATGTAGTCCAGACCAGGCAGTTTCCTTCCCTAAAGAACTGGGTGGGTTATTCCTGACAATTGGCAATGGATTCATCATCAAACCCTTAACTCCAGATCTTTTTTTTATTGAATTCAAATTCCACCTTCTGCCATGGCAGGATTCAAACCCAGGTGCCCAGAACATTACCTGGGTCTCTAGACTAACAGTCCAACAGTAATACTACTAGGCCATCACCTCTCCCTTGCCTTTAGTCACAATGCTGTTTTACTCATTGTTACCGTATATATTTCAGAACATAAAATCTTGTCAGGTTATTCATTCAACTAATAACTGGAAGTTTGAATTTCTTATAAATGATTGGTCTCTAAAGAAATTGTAACAGTGTATGTGTCTGTGTCTGTGGGTCTCCAAGCATCAAGTCTATGAGGATATGCAGTCTACTACAGGGAAGGTTACTGTAAACGTAACCCTCAATCGCCTTCTGCCAGTGATTGATTAGATCCACCCAGAGTCACAATGCAGATTCTGTCCATCATGAAGCACAGTGCACATGATCTTCACAGCAAAACAAGTCCAAGAAATGTGCAAGAGTACAGCAGCAACCTCTATACATGGCCTTCCTTTACTTCAGAAAGACTTTCAACCCTGTCAACCAGAGGAATTATCAAGCATTCTCCTCAAATTGATTACGCATAGCAACTCATCACTCTCATGTCTCTGCTGCATTGCAGCATACAAGCTATGATCTTCACCAACAGATCCATCTCAAACCCAATGTGTAGGCAAACAGAGGTCAAGCAACTCTGTGTATTTGTCCTATTCTTTACAATCTTCTTTGTCACAACGGCCCCTCTGATATTGTAAGAACTGCATCTTTTTTTATTTTTCGTTGACTGGAATGGGAAAAGGGCAGTTTAAAAACTAAGGATTGTGGAAAGAATTACCGCACTTTTTAAAAGCAGGTTGCTGACATTTATTTTAAGTACACTGTGTTGTACATTCTGCCTGTTTAAGTTGTAGGGGAGGATTAGTTGCAGAGAAGCTGGAAACAGGAAATATACACAATGAGATTTAGCTGGCAGCAAGTAGCTGATTGGTCTATGGGGGGGACTGATGACCAGTTACCAATGAGAATGGCCTTCTGCCTGTTAACAAATATGTGATTGGCTCCCAGGTAGCTGAATGGCTTGTGGTGTGAATATTTGGTGAGAAGTCATCAGACCTCCCATTAGGAAGGAGCTGGCCATTTTTTTTTGAAGTAGGAAACACCCCAAGCCTGAAGAACACCAGTTTATTTCTCCAAGTAGCTGTAAACTATGGCTCTTAATTTTAAAAAAACAGAGATTTTATGTGTGAACCACATAATTACACCTGTAGTTAGAGTCTATTTATTTGTAATAAGTAGTGATCCTAAGTACAGAAACCTAATCTGTACTTTCCGTAAACCTGGGTCTTCAAAATGGGTATATTGTGGAAAGTTTACAAACTTATACGAAATCTTTAATGTTTGCAACAACTCTGGGAATAGCAGGGCTTCATTTCCAGTGCCCTACCCTGCTGAAGCGTAACAATATTCACGAATATACCAATGTACAAATTAGGAGCAAGAGTGTGCCATTACACCTCCAAGCCTGCTCTGCCGTTCAAAAAAAACATAGCTGCTCCGATTGTAACCTCAAATCTGTATTCGCATGTGCTCCTGACATCTTTTTGGACTCTTGATTAACAAGTATGATTAACAAACAAACTTGATTAGCAATTTTGGGCAGCACGGTGGCTCACTAGTTAGCACTGGTGCCTCACAGTGCCAGGTACCTGGGTTTGATTCCACCTTCAGGCTGTGTGGAGTTTATACGTTCTCCCCGTGTCTGCATGGGTTTCCTCCGGATGTTCCGGTTTCCTCCCACAGTCCAAAGATGTGCAGGATAGGTGGATTGGCCAGGCTAAATTGACCATAGTGTTCAGGGATGTGTAGATTAGGGGGATGGGTTGGGATGGGATGCTCTGAGGGTCAGTGTGGACTTGTTAGGCCAAAGAGCCTGTTTCCACACTGTGGGCATTCTCTGACCTATGAAGTATCTATCTGCCTTGAAAATGTTCAATGATTCTGCCTCCCACACCTTTCCAGAAAGCAAATTCCAAAGACTAATGATCTTCTGCAAGGAAAAAGAAATCAGGTTTTTAAAAGGTTATGCTTGGGTTTATCTTCTCCCATAAGAGGAAACATCCCCACATCTACTCGATCAAGACCCTCAGGATTTCATCAACCTGTTGAAATGTGTTGGAACACACATCTATGTTTGAACCGAGACCTTCTGGTGCAGAGGTAGGGACACTACCACTGTGCCACAAGACCGTCCTCAGGAGGGTTTCAATCAAGCCACCTCTTATGTTTCTAAACTCCAGTGGTACAATTCTAGCCTATCCAACATTCCCTCATAACACATCTCTCTCTTTCCAGGTACTAGTCTAGTAAACCTTCTGTGAACTGTGCATTCACATCCTTCCTTAAACAAAGTGACTAATACTGTGCAACCCAGACTTGGTCTTACCAGTGTCCTGTATGATTGAAGCTAAAGTTCTCTACTTTGTATTCAATTCACCTCGCAATAAACATTAACATTCTATTAGCTTTCCAAATTACTTGCTGTAACTACATATTAAACCTTTTGCAATTCATGCATAATGACACCCAGGTCCCTCTGCATCTCAGAGTTCTGCAATAATTCTTCCTGCCAAGGTGGACAAATTCAATTTTTCTGACATTATATTCGCACACTTGCTACATATTTTCTTGCTCACTTAACCTATATATATATTTTTTTATTAACTACCTTGTGTCCTCTTCAGAATTTATTTTCCTATCTGGCAATTGTGTTGTCAGGAAATTTGGCAGCTTCTGTAACT